CAATAGCAAGCACATAAATAGTGTTAACAAGGCGGTAGACAACCCGATAACGTGACTCAACACCAACAATTACCTGACCAGACGAGGCAGCTAAAGGATCATCACCAAGCGAGTCTGATGGACCTGCAGTGATGGAATTAGTGGTGCTGGAATTTACGGCGGCGGAGGTCGGGTGGTGGGTTTTGGAGGAGAAAGAGTGGCGGGTTTGGCGGAAGGAGGACACTGCCATCAGAGCACGGGAAGGCGGAAACCATTCGCGGGTCTGAACGAGGACGTCGGGCCCATTACTGGGTTGGAGTGAAAGAGCGAGACAGGACATCTGGGTTTGGTTGTTCTTTGTTTCAGATTCTCAGATCTGGGTATCTTCCTTGGGCGGCGACGATGACAGTGCCAGTAGAGGCGACTGATATTTTGATCAGTAGATCGCGGATCGCAATTGTGTGTGTCGTGGGTGGGTTGGGGGAAGGGAGAGGGGGGTAGATTTCAGTTCGCTTCTGAGATTTGAGCAGAGCAAAGAGCCTGGAAATTGATCAGTGTACAATCTACTCGGCACATGGTACAACTATAGAAACTTCTCTCTTCTCACTGTTTACGTTAAAAAGGAAAAGTAGCATCAGAGGTCCCCAAATGTATTTGCATGTTGCACCTTGGTCCCCGTTCTTAAAAACAGAGCATTTACAAATTTTACATCCTCAATCTTTCATGTTATTAGCACTTACAACCTTCTTGACAATTTTACCATTACCTCAAGGACATGTTTGACAAGCTAAGGCCGGATTGGTTACAGTTCGTATAATCGGGACGTCTTGCACCAATTAACAAGATTGAGGCCATCCCACTAGGACACGTTGAAGAGAGAAAAAAAAAACTCAAAACTTAACAAAATACAGTAGAATTGCACAAGATATAGATACGTTCAGCAAATGTAGCAGTGTATAGAATGGAGTGTACGGCAAAACAATTCGTATGATCAACTTCAAATTTATTGTAGTCTAATAGACATCAAGTTGTAAAGCTCAACTCGGGTGCTGAATTCTGGGTTTTAGATCAGTATCACGGTGATACAGCCACATGGAAAAGTGATATTATTCATCCAATTCCTAAATGGTCGACTGGGTCAAAGTTTCCGATTGCATCACATGGCAAGAAACAAAAATGAACTGATTTCTTCGCCTACAATTTCACGCAAAGAAGATAAGTGACGCTGGTAATTTGCCAAGAGCAACAGTCAACCATCAAAACTTACTAAAGTTGATGAAATTCAGGGAGAGAAAAACGAGTATATAAAAAACTCATCGGTTTTAAGCACACCAGATTATAGCTGTGCTACACTACGTTTGTGCAACTCCAATTCTAATAACTTGCTGCCCGTGTAACATGAAGTTAAAATTGAGGAGACGATCCTCCTTTGTAAAGCTTTGAACTCCAATGCAAGCTTTACATCCCACATGGGTGTTTCCCTGCAAAACGAAAGAACATTTCTTCAAAATGTTCTTCAAGGGTCGAAGATTGATCCTGTAACATACAGCCAGTTGTTACCTGTCATCCAGTGTTGCTTCGCCAAGGGCTTCCATCATACCTTCAAAGGTAGAGCAAAGGTCTCCAAGGACTTCTAGTTCAATTTCTAAGTTTTCCCGAGTCTGCAAATGGTCATATAGAGGAGTTAAGAACAAAATGTTTACACATGTATTAGGCAGATGGCCACTAGCTAGTGAAACCAAAAAGCTTTACAGACATTTGAAGAATAAGCATTAAAAAAATTACAAGAGTATTTGACTCCCACGTTGGAGTCCGAGCTCTGCGAAGATGATTCAATAAAGGTCGTGGCAACCCATAATTAAAGATCGCATGATTCTTTGAGAACCAGGTTCCTCGAACCATGTGAGTGTTCCATTCACAAGCTGCCCCTCCGCCCTCACAATCTTCATCTTGTGGAACATCAATATCTGTAACAGAAATCAAAACATAATTACTTGTAAAATTAACGGATACGAACCAATAGACGAAATGGAACTAAGCGAGATCCAGGGGTGGGTTGCACATCCAACTGATGTATATACATGCAAACCTCCAAAATTATCAGGATTAAGTACACGAGAGGATAATATAGAGCAGTACCAAGTGAAATAACATCGTGGGGATTGTCTCCTTGAGTGAAGAAACCGTAGAACGTTACCAAATGAGAACTAGAGAAGTTACCATAACTAAGAAAGCATTGTTCTCCGGCATTGCATGGTCTGGACAAAGGAAATTTTAAAGAATTCGTAGTAGAATCAATTCGACCATAGTGCATTATGTGCGGGCACATCTATCAATGAGGGGAAAACAAATATGAGCTAAGCAACAAATTAGTTGAGAGGTAAAAATAACAAGGATACAGTCTTAACACGATGATAATGTCTGCCTACCATATTAAATAGCAAGTAGTGATGTGATTCTGTCCTAATGATTTGTATTTGCAGTATATAGCATTTACATCAGCAGTTGAGTTAATTGAGATATCTTTTCATTCCATTTTGTAATTTTTTTTCCCCCGAGGGCGTGCAATCCTCAAAATGTTTAGACCTTTTCATCAGGTTTAGCATCGTGCTTGCTCTATTTTGCAAGAGCCTTATGAAATATTGCAGCTATAAATCACACAACACACAGAACAAAAGAAGTTCGTCGAATTAAGTGCAGACCGAGTGATTAAGAAAGCCAGCAACAGGAATTAAGCAGGTCCTCAGTTTTCCATCACTGAACATAACTTTCATGCTATTAGAGTACCAAAGCTCACAAGCCCATAAGAACTGCTCCCATGTATACAGCTCTCGTGGAAATTCATCAGGATGGCAATCGCATAATGCAGGAAATAACTCATCATATTGGATACGTAGATGCTGCAGCAAAACGTAGTTATGTCAATCTCTGAATACATAAAAACAGAAAAGAACTTAAAAGGTGATACTAAAAATCAAACCCATCCTGACCAACACGTCAAAGTCTGGTCCTTTTTTATGAGAATGCATCCTTCAAAGAGTTTCAACAGAACTACAGAAAATTATGATGAAATACTACCAATAGTGTTTGGAAGTGACACTGGGAAAAATCATTTTATCTTTATAAATTTTAATTCTAGAACATATAAGCCCCTGTTTGACAACCATTAAAAAGAGTTTTTTTTTTTTTTTGGTGGGGGGGGGGGGGGGGGGGGGGATGACAAAAAGGGGCTAAATAGTAGGAAAAAGTGCTGCTTTACATGAGGAAAGCAATTCTAACCTATTTGACTTTACCATTTCTATCTTTTCGCATTCCTTTCCTCATCCAAATTCTAATTCTATTTAAACAAGACACATGCACACTTTAAGGCACTTCAGTAAAGCAGCTGATAAAATGTAAATTTCCATGACCGGCAAATTAATGACCTCTCGTCTTAGAATGTAAGATAACCTACTTACTTCTTCTTTAACTTTAGGCAAAGGACTGAAATCCTTCACCATTTCTTGTAATTTTAATATATTCAACAGGGTTCACATGCCTAAAAGTCCTTTTTCTATCCACTCACCAGGTGTGTATACATATTCAATTCTTTCTACTAAATGGATTTTTGTAATTATATTCAACATAATACACGCTACTCGTCTTTTATCTTAAGTTCCATACATTCTGTCCGAACCCATAATTTAGAATGGAATCGACCAGCAGAATAAAAAGAGTGTACATGCATCTTCTTAATGAATCAAAGATTTTTATCATATAACTCAATCTGTCTTGAATGATACATGAAACAGATGGAATCCTTATGATTGAAACAGTAGTGCTTTATAACCTCTTTGGCTTGAACAATCTCTTCTAACAACAAAGCTCCATCTAATGCCATGACAGCATCAATACCAAAGCTCAAACCTGTGTTGTATACATAATCAAATAGCCACATTAAGTATGTTAGAAATTTATAGAGCCATGTTTCAAACAGCAAGGTTTACAAACTTTACTGATGTAGAATAGATTGACTCTCAGCAGAAGAAGAAGAAGAAGAAGAAGAAGAAGAAGAAGAAGAAGAAGAAGAAGAAGAAGAAGAAGAAGAAGAAGAAGAAGAAGAGGACAGAGAAGACAGCAGAATTGCAGCAGAAGACAGGGAAAGGAAGAGGAAGAAGCGGAGAAGAAAAGTAAAAGAAAGGAAGAAGAAAGTACTAGAGAAAAGAACAAGTGAGAGAGGGCAGTAATGCCTGTTAATTTCCATCTTGTCTGCCTTTCTTTTACTTCAAATACATCACTCATAAGGTCAGGCCCAAATACATACCCAAATTTAGAAGTCCAAAATAATAAAACCCAAAAGTAATCAAATGGATGTCCTCCTCAAGTTTAATTTGGAGAAGAAGAATTTGGTTTGAAGTAATTCTATGTGAAGTCAAAAACTAAATTTTTCTGTATATTGGTTAACTAGGTTACAAGAGCTTGATATACGCACCTACCCTCCTAGAGTAATTAAAAGGAAATAATTAACAAGACAATCCTATAGTTACGCTAAACCCAAGAATACTCCTATTCAAGTGGTGTGACCATGTCCAACAAGTATTGCACACCTACACTATCGCACAGTCCAAGCACATGTCCGACATGCTATGTGGCGTGTCGTAAATTTTTCCTATTCTTAATAGTTTTAACACACGAAGAACATGTATTCAATGCCAACACATAAAGTGCCCATTTAGTAAATTTTGGATTCTATAATCTGTGACATTCTTTAATTGTTAAATATTTACGTAAAAGGTAAGACTAAGTTGAGAAAACACTATGAACTTAGTGTTGAATTTTCTTTATATATGGAAACTCCTCATGTTCAAAAAAATTTATATGCAAAGGTGTCAAAGCTCAAAAGTATTGATTTATTGAAAAACACATAAATATGAAATTTTTCTAAGCCCTTGTTTGAGCCTCATTTTGGAGAAAAAATGTATTATTGAATACTGATTGTTTTAGGAAAATATCTGGTTAAAAAGTAAGAAAAAGTTTTCGATTTATGTGTAAAATTATTTTATTGGAGAATGTGTGATTGAAAATGAGTTTTGAAAAAATGATTTGTTGAGAAAATGGGTTCAAACAAGTGCTAAGAGATAGGGACTCAATATTAAAATATTTGAAGTTTCTTTTCTGCTTTGACCCGTAGGGAGATGTAGTTGGAGTTTTAGATTTATCTCAAGGAAAAGGACATTAATATAACGAAATATATGTTGAACTATGCACAAATATTGCCATATTTCACATTCACGAAATGCATCATACATTATTATACATGGAGGATATTGGGACATTTGTGAATGCAAAAAAGCCGTACTGTAGCTTGTTTGTTGAGAAACAATCTGAAATTTACTAAAGCCTTGTTTGAGCACCATTTCTGGGGGAAGAATGCATTTTGAACAATAAGTTAATGGAAAATGTGTGGTTAAAATTTAAGGAAAAATTGTAGGTTCATATGTAATATTATTTTATAAAAAAATGTGTGGATAAAAATGAATTTTGAAAAAATGAACTTTTAGAAGAATGAGACTCAAACAATTCCTAAAAGTCTAATTTTTGACTTTACCATTTCTATCTTTTCGCATTCCTTTCCTCATCCAAATTCTAATTCTATTTAAACAAGACACATGCACACTTTAAGGCACTTCAGTAAAGCAGCTGATAAAATGTAAATTTCCATGACCGGCAAATTAATGACCTCTCGTCTTAGAATGTAAGATAACCTACTTACTTCTTCTTTAACTTTAGGCAAAGGACTGAAATCCTTCACCATTTCTTGTAATTTTAATATATTCAACAGGGTTCACATGCCTAAAAGTCCTTTTTCTATCCACTCACCAGGTGTGTATACATATTCAATTCTTTCTACTAAATGGATTTTTGTAATTATATTCAACATAATACACGCTACTCGTCTTTTATCTTAAGTTCCATACATTCTGTCCGAACCCATAATTTAGAATGGAATCGACCAGCAGAATAAAAAGAGTGTACATGCATCTTCTTAATGAATCAAAGATTTTTATCATATAACTCAATCTGTCTTGAATGATACATGAAACAGATGGAATCCTTATGATTGAAACAGTAATGCTTTATAACCTCTTTGGCTTGAACAATCTCTTCTAACAACAAAGCTCCATCTAATGCCATGACAGCATCAATACCAAAGCTCAAACCTGTGTTGTATACATAATCAAATAGCCACATTAAGTATGTTAGAAATTTATAGAGCCATGTTTCAAACAGCAAGGTTTACAAACTTTACTGATGTAGAATAGATTGACTTTCAGCAGAAGAAGAAGAAGAAGAAGAAGAAGAAGAAGAAGAAGAGGAAGAGGAAGAGGAAGAGGAAGAGGAAGAGGAAGAGGAAGAAGAAGAGGAAGAAGAAGAAGAAGAAGAGGAAGAAGAAGAAGAAGAGGACAGAGAAGACAGCAGAAGACAGGGAAAGGAAGAGGAAGAAGCGGAGAAGAAAGTACTAGAGAAAAGAACAAGTGAGAGAGGGCAGTAATGCCTGTTAATTTCCATCTTGTCTGCCTTTCTTTTACTTCAAATACATCACTCATAAGGTCAGGCCCAAATACATACCCAAATTTAGAAGTCCAAAATAATAAAACCCAAAAGTAATCAAATGGATGTCCTCCTCAAGTTTTATTTGGAGAAGAAGAATTTGGTTTGAAGTAATTCTATGTGAAGTCAAAAACTAAATTTTTCTGTATATTGGTTAACTAGGTTACAAGAGCTTGATATACGCACCTACCCTCCTAGAGTAATTAAAAGGAAATAATTAACAAGACAATCCTATAGTTACGCTAAACCCAAGAATACTCCTATTCAAGTGGTGTGACCATGTCCAACAAGTATTGCACACCTACACTATCGCACAGTCCAAGCACATGTCCGACATGCTATGTGGCGTGTCGTAAATTTTTCCTATTCTTAATAGTTTTAACACACGAAGAACATGTATTCAATGCCAACACATAAAGTGCCCATTTAGTAAATTTTGGATTCTATAATCTGTGACATTCTTTAATTGTTAAATATTTACGTAAAAGGTAAGACTAAGTTGAGAAAACACTATGAACTTAGTGTTGAATTTTCTTTATATATGGAAACTCCTCATGTTCAAAAAAATTTATATGCAAAGGTGTCAAAGCTCAAAAGTATTGATTTATTGAAAAACACATAAATATGAAATTTTTCTAAGCCCTTGTTTGAGCCTCATTTTGGAGAAAAAATGTATTATTGAATACTGATTGTTTTTGGAAAATATCTGGTTAAAAAGTAAGAAAAAGTTTTCGATTTATGTGTAAAATTATTTTATTGGAGAATGTGTGATTGAAAATGAGTTTTGAAAAAATGATTTGTTGAGAAAATGGGTTCAAACAAGTGCTAAGAGATAGGGACTCAATATTAAAATATTTGAAGTTTCTTTTCTGCTTTGACCCGTAGGGAGATGTAGTTGGAGTTTTAGATTTATCTCAAGGAAAAGGACATTAATATAACGAAATATATGTTGAACTATGCACAAATATTGCCATATTTCACATTCACGAAATGCATCATACATTATTATACATGGAGGATATTGGGACATTTGTGAATGCAAAAAAGCCGTACTGTAGCTTGTTTGTTGAGAAACAATCTGAAATTTACTAAAGCCTTGTTTGAGCACCATTTCTGGGGGAAGAATGCATTTTGAACAATAAGTTAATGGAAAATGTGTGGTTAAAATTTAAGGAAAAATTGTAGGTTCATATGTAATATTATTTTATAAAAAAATGTGTGGATAAAAATGAATTTTGAAAAAATGAACTTTTAGAAGAATGAGACTCAAACAATTCCTAAAAGTCTAATTTTAATGTACACCAAATAGGGGCTGATACGCTTGAAGTAAATTGTAAATGATGAGGACATCCATTTGATTACTTTTGGGTTTGTATTTGGGCTTGACCCCATAACTTTTATCTATAAGTGGTGTATTTGAAGTGAAAGAAAGGCAGACAAGATGGAAAATTAACAGGTTTTACTGCCCTCCCTCACATGTGCTTCTCTCTGGTACTTTCTTCTTCCTTTCTTTTACTTTTCTTCTTCACTTCTTCCTCTTTCTTTCCCCCTGTCTTCTGCTGCAATTCTACTGTCTTCTCTGTCCTCTTCTTCTTCTTGTTCTTCTTCTTCTGCATTTATTCTATTTCTTCTGCTGAAACTTAATCTATTCTATATCAAAGTGGTAGCAAAGCTAAACTTGGGAGAAATACTCAACTCCTACAACGACTGCTCTATCTGCTATAACTTCCACCAAGATTTTGTGAAGAGAATAAACTAAACTATATACCCATACACATAGCCCTTGCAACTCCCCCAGCACTCACCAAAGGTCTGTTTTATATATATATACACACACACTCCAAACGCTGTCACACCTTCCCTGCCACCGGTTGCCCTTATCGCACACCCAGTTACCTACAATTGTACCACCATCTAACAAATACAACCTCCGACAGCTTTTTCCCCACCATAATCTTCACCAATCGAGCAGCCCACCTCCTGTCGACGCTGAAAATCAACGGCCCAGTATCTACAAACACGATCCACTTCATAGTCTTGGGCTTCCATTGTTAATACATGCATTTGGGCCCAGTTTTGTAATTTGGGCTCAGTTATTGCCCCTGTTTTCTTTATATGTAAATTAGTTTGATTTCGCAAATTTAAAAAAAAAATTAATTTAATTTAAAAAATAAAAGGGAACAGAAAATAAAATAAAAGAGAAATGAAAAAAAAAAGTGAGAAAAAAAAAAGAAAAGAAAAGAGAAAAGCGAAAAGCGAAATAAAAAAGAAGTGAAAAAAATAAAAATGTATTGTCTAACATCGTTTTGCAGGCACCTCTTTATATTCCGGTTGATTTGGCACAGCTACTTCAATGAGCGAAAGGGAAGTTACTATTTTTATTTATTATTGGTTTAGATTACTGTTTCGTTTTAAAATTGCATCAATATTTTTGTGTGCTACTGTTATTCCAATTTTACCTAAATTCACGTAACTGGACTCATTAACTCTGTTAAATTCCACTTTCACCTTACTTATTTTACGTGATTAGGTTTTCACTAGTATTTGAACCTTGCTTTGCTATTTTACATATACAAGCAATATTAACTTGTCGTATTTGGATTTATTTAATCCCAAAATTAAAAATTAAAAAAAGGGGGCTCAAGTTGTTATTTTCCATTGCTTACACTTATTGTTCATTGATCTCTCTATTGCACGTCATTTAGCTGCTAATCCAGTGCATGCATGGTCATCTTGTCACTTCTAGTTTCATTACCTAAACATGGATCCTTCACAATTTGATGCACTCTCCCGACAAATAGCGGCTATCCAAACCCATATGTCTGCTACTCTTGAAGAGAGTAAGGTCCAATCTGCTAATTTGAACAATTTTAAGCAAATTCCTCATTCGATCGACGTTGATAATTCTGAAGTATCCCATAATAGACATTATTGTCATCGACGAGGAGATCAAAAGTATTTTCGATACGATCGTAGTGATAGGGATCAAGTTTGTGGGCGAAAACGAGCCTATAACCGTCACGGTACTCATTCCCTTCCTCGTCATAAGGAGAGTTTCTTTAGAGATATTAAATTAGACTCCTACTTTTAATGGTTGCTTAGATTTTGACATTTTTACTCAATGGACTTCACTTAAACAAAGGAATCGGTTAGTGAATGAGTATATTGCTCAATTTGAGGAATTTCGAATAAAATGTCATGTCATTGAGAATGAGGCCCTTACTTTGAGCAGATTTATATAAGGTCTAGAAATGAACTTAGGCGTGAGCTTTTCCTTCGAGACGTCACTACTCTTGTTGATCACGCTTACTCTTCAGCCCGAGATTATGAGTTATTTATTAGAACTCTATATAAAAACTGCGATCACCATTGCCCACCAATCTCGTCATTCCTGCCTTCTCTGTAGTCTACCAAAAGACCTTTCCTATCTAATGGTCCTCCTGTGTTGGAAAATAAAGGTAAAATTTCTAATATTTCACAGGTTTCTTCTCACTTGCAGTGCTTCAACTGTAAGGATTTTGGCCACATCTCTTTTGAATGTCCTAATCAAACCTTAGTTATTGAAAAACGAAATATTATAATAGATGAGCAATTAGAGGATCAAATCTATGAACTTAAACTTGAACAATTTGATGACTTGGATGATAGTGAGAACACCTTCTTAGATAGCATTCAGAGTTTTCCTATTAATCTAGGTATTGTACCCCTTGTTCTCGATACCTTTCAATTAAATGTTGTGTGTCATACTCTTATTCAACCCAAAGGTACTGATAATTTGTGTAATCATGCCATTTTCAAGAAAAATATTGGGAATTGGGATTTGATCCTCCCAACAATGCAAATTACATATAACAACTTTGTGAATCGGTCTATAAGTATGAGTTTCTTTAAAGTCATTCATGGTTATGAAAGTAGGAAAACTTTAGATCTTATCCCCATGTCCCCATATGCTAATGTGTCCATGTCAGTTGAGGTAGTTGTATCACATCGTCATAACTTGCATATTGAGATCAATAAACAACTTGCAGCAAGTAATACACTATATAAACTTCAAACTGATTTGCATAAGCGAAATTTTGAATTTAATATGGGGGATTATGTTATATTTCAAGCCTACAGTGCTGGTCCTTTTAAAATTCTAAAGCATGTTGGTCCAAATGCGTATGTCAATGATCTTTCATCACATTATCACCATCACCCTATTTTAATTGTTAAAGACTTCGTTGCTTACAAAGGTTATTTTAACCCTTTGATTGATCATTTTCTATCTCTACGTGGGAGTTCCAACATTGAATCTTTTGTTTATGTATATTCGAATACCATCTGTCACAGCACACAAATATAAAATTGATATTATTTTAGATGAACAGATTGTGTTGATCGATGATGGAGAGATTCAGTGCTTTCTTGTTCGTTGGGTGAATCAACTTGATTCTGATGGTACATGGATTCCCCGAGAGAGACTTCAGTAGCGTGATCCAAATTCGGTGGAGCTTTATAGGAGTCAACAAGATTGTACTTTACCCAGTTTACCTTGGTCAGATCCTATTCTAGGGGATAATTTGCAACTAAGAATATCGTCATTGAGTTTCGATATTTGGTTCATTAGAAAGATCATCCCCCTTAGCTTGATTTAGAACATTTTGGGAATCAGATCGACTACAGCCTTTTGCGTTTTGTCCACTCGACAAAGCCGAGTTTTCCTCCCATCCCGAGAGAGTTGACAAAGACATCCATTTGATTACTTTTGGGTTTTATTATTTTGGACTTTCAAATTTGGGTTTGTATTTGGGCCTGACCCAAGCCCATAACTTTTATCTATAAGTGGTGTATTTAAAGTGAAAGAAAGGCAGACAAAATGGAAAATTAACAGGCTTTACTGCCCTCTCTCACATGTTCTTCTCTCTGGTACTTTCTTCTTCCTTTCTTTTTCTTTTCTTCTCCGCTTCTTCCTCTTCTTTTCCCTGTCTTCCGCTGCAATTCTGCTGTCTTCTCTGTCCTCCTCCTCTTCTGCATCTATTCTATTTCTCCTGCTGAAACTCAATCTATTCTACATCAAAACACATAACACTTTTAAGCAACCATAATTTCACCTCAACCATTCCACTCTAAAGCCCATAAACTAGCTGATTTAACCAATTTAACCTAATATATGTCCGCCAATTGTTCTGTGATCACGAGTTGACACCAATCATACCATAAAACCAATCAAAGATAATAAGATAAGAAGAAAGAGAAATAGGCAGTATGCAATCAGACAAGACATACCAGTGTTAAATTCTTCTGGCAATGTGTCAAAATATAACTTATATTTGGAACCCTGGTTGTATTTCTCCTTCATGCTCCACAATAGCAACATTGTCTCTGCTGAAATCCCATCAATTTGCTCCAAGATAGGGAACTACCTTCAATAAAATGTGATTAATCTCATGCACCATATTAAACATGTAGAAATTTGGGGCTACAAATTGGAAAATATATGAAGTGGGAAGTCTCATGAATACCTACTAGCTTAGTAAATCATCAAGAGGAAATGGAAAGATGATATGATTAACTTAAAGAATAACAGGGAAAAAACAAGGACTTCTGATTGGTTCCAAAATAAATAAATAAATGTTATGGCGAAGTATCTTCAGATGCTATAGAACATTGTCCACTTTTAACACAGATCATCATCTGCCTAGTTAGACTTAAATATTTTCTCCTACATAACAGTAAATATCTCTATGTCCTTGAAATAACACCCAGAGGAACCAACGTTGATTGAGGATTAACCATTATTGGTTCCAACGTCTATTAAATCCTATGCAAGTGCAAATTTCAGCCTACGAATCTCAAAAATCAACCTGTAGTTATCTGGATACTGCACATTTTGAAATTTTGAAGAAGAAACAGTTGTTCTTCAACCTTAAAAGGGCCCAAATTTTCAACATGTGGTCCTCTTGCTCTCAGAACACAAAAATATGTAATATCTATATGTATTCTTTTATGCATGCATAATATTAAAGAGCTGATTTCAAAGAATAGAAAGTAGATACAAGAGAACTAAATTGCAAGTCTAGCATCAATCTTATGCTTATGAAGCAATATAAGATACCATGTCAGATTCATGCAAAATGTCCTCTGAAATGATGACAGATAGAGGAATCTCCAGAGCAATATCTCCAACTTCTAAGTCTTCTCTTGCTACTGCCCCTCTTCCAGCTCCTTCAACATCTAGATAAACCAAGAGAGAAAAATTTGAAAACTAAAAATAGAAAGATTTTCAAGGTTAACATTCTCACTTCCTCTTTCCGTAGAACGTAGTTATTATAAGGAGCTCCTTACTGTTTCTAAAACTTGATTCCCTAAACTTTACTGGGAAGAAAGGAAGGGGAGGCATTACACAATTCTTACTTACGAGCTATATCTAATTTTGTCTTAACACCATTCTTCACACCCCACTCTAAGAGACACTTTTCCTTGTCACTGTTAGAATCTCTAAAAATTCTTGTCTCTTCACCATTGCTCTTTCCAAGTTCATGGATCCTATCAAGAGTCACATCCCGCAGATTTTGCAGTACATTTATCGTCGCTCCTTTGCCACTGGACAGCACCTTGTCAATGACTTTAAGGATTAAATCTAGAGCTTCCAGCTCATTCCTCAGACTGGTAAAACCCCCTAGATCAATGGCATCTTCACTGAAGTAAAGTTCTACCTGCAACATTGTAAATTCACTGTCCAGTGTTAGTTCTAATATGAATTATAACCCAATTGTCAACAACTAGGAGGTGCAGGATTGTTCCAAATGCCGGGGACCAGGGAAACCGTTGTCCACAATGTGTTTCTGTGTGTAAATCCACTTATTTGAGCAATGTTATACATGCATATGCCATATACATCTAATCAAAAAGATGAAATTCGAGAGATATTATTTATCTACGGAAAAAAAGGAAATCAATAATGATAATTTGATAATGTATCTGGACTTTGTAGTTTCTGCAAATTATTAAACATAAATGATCAAGTCTTAACCACAATAACTAGAAACTAGTCAAGGCAGCCAACATGGTAGTAAGTCAAACTTCAACTTCAACAATTGTCCACAGTATCTATATTTTAAAGTCACATGCATACATGCACTGTTATACATCCATATTGCCAAAAGCTGTACAAAATATATAGTACAAAACACACATATAAAGAAAGAGAAAAAAATGTCAATTAGAAAGTTAGAGAGTTGTAAATATCAATTAATTGCTACTTTGTCATCTCTTTTTAGAAAGTTTTTCCTTTTTCATATCTTTTCTGAAAATGCTGATAGTGCTAATGGTGAACCAGGTTACCCCAGGTTTGGCTAGGAATTAATGGATATGCTATGAAATTTAACACGGGAGATGTTTGGACGCGGGGATCATGGATGGAACGATAAATTTCTGTCACCCGAGAAAGAGATGGAAAAGGTAAACCACCTTTATGAGATCAAAAGCAAGACTTGGCAGAGTATTGAACTTAACTACCAAGCCTTCATCCTCCATGGATGGTTAACTAATCGAATATCACATGACGATGCTGCCCAAGTTTGAAGCTTAAATCTAAAATCTTTGCATATTTTAGTACCATATTTTGTCATCCACTTCATAAGTTCACAAATTTGGTATGAGTTTGCAGAGTTAGAAAGGAAGATTACCTCGTCTAAGTTTATGATTCTTGCTCGTTGAAGCATCATATTCAAGAAAGAGGTTAACTGATCAGGAGTGAAGGAGCTCCTAATGTTCATTGATCCTTCTGGATCAAAACCCATAACCTCTAGTACTTTCTAACAAAAATTAAAAAGCGATATCAGGTTACGAAAAAAAGAAAAAAATAAAAAATAAAACCTTTAAATGGATAATAGCTGCTTCATTACAATTTTAGAGCATAAATAAAAAGTCTCCATAAAATTCATAATCTTACCTTCTTTTTACCCAAGAAAGGGTCTCCTTTAGAAAGCTCAAGAACCAATTGAACATCATTGTCAATCTGAGAAGTATCTCCTATCATATTCTGTACAAATAATCAAATATAGGATTCCCAATTTAGCATAACCCTTTTCATTATTCAATTTTTTTTCTTTTTCAATTTGCTAATTTACTGTGCAGTTTCTAATTGATATGTGAAGAATCAAATAATCAATATACCAATATTTAACAGCTAAGACAAGACAGATATGACCATTTTCTCGCCGAGAAAATGATAAATAAACAAGAAATCGAACTTAATTAAAGAAAATAAAACCGCCAAAATAAGGAATCACTTTTCACTTCAATTCTTCTAGACATTCAAGACTCTTAGTTACGTATATAAGTACATATAAATTAGCTTGTAAAGTTTTGGTTACCTTGTCGATGTTCATGGAGGAAAGAACTAAAAAGAGAGCAGGAAGAAAGTGTCAAGCGGCTTGAAGAGAAGTGAGAAAGCGAACACCTTCGGAATAGGTTCGGCTAAGCTCAACCATTGTTCACTGAAAACAATGTCCCGGCCCACGTTAATTTCTATTCCATTACTTTTCATTTTTTTCTTTCTTATTTTCAACCACACAATTTTTCAAAAAATAATATTACACATAAATTTAAAAAATTTCCTTTTTTTTTCAACCACTCATTTTTCAAAAAAATACTATTCCACTCATTTTCATTTTTATAAAATAAGGGCCAAACAAGAACAATATTTGGAGAATAAAAGTGGATTAATATTTAGGGAGAATTTGTTAAAAAACACATTCAAACAATGTATTTGGTTAAATAATCTCATTTCAATATTTGTTGGTATAATAGTCTTCAATTACAAAATACAATAAACAAATAATATCAAAAGTCTAAAATGCCCTCACCATGAAAAAGACCCAAATACCCCTTTCAATCCATTTAAATTTCTCATTTCATCTCCAAAAATCATAGTCTTGCTCTCCCTGTAGTAATATAAATTCTTGTTATCTGTTACTTCACTCATCTTCTTCAATATTTTGAGCATTTAAACAAGAATATTGATTTTTATATCATTTACATTGAAATCTCTCCTATATTTGAAGAAAAAAAATGTATTTTTAGAAATGTCGTGTACATTGATACTTTTATCGTTGAATATAGTATAAAATGATATTTTAGTTGATTTTATTTTTTTTTTACATTTGGTGTATTTTGGCTGTCTGCAACTATTGGACGATAACGACACTCCAGTCGTTATCTGTAGTGTAGAACAATATTACAGTCGTTATCGTCCATGTAAAGCGACGGTAAAACCATATGACATGACATGTCCCGAATTACCTTAATAGACTCGACACGTGTCATGC